CTTTAATATCCTACAGAAAGCCTACACATCTTCTTCAGACTGAAAACACATCTCTTTCGACTCCACTTCGAGCGATAGAATTACTAACAAAGAATTTCTAAACAAAGCACTTATATACTAATAAAGGACTGGCTTATGTAAAGCCAGTTGAATTGAAATGTTTTGGCTCTATGAAACCTGATGTACTTTTTTTCTTCAAGTTTGTATCTTCCTGGTCGAATGCACTTATTGTAAGTCACTTTGGATAAAAGCCTCAGCTAAATGCAATGTAATGTAATATTAAGTCAAAATGTTCACTTTACCAAATGGTATTCAATTTTTTATAAACACCAACTTTGCATTCTGCAATTCAATTGTAATAACCATTGCATAGTTTTTATTGGCAGACTTTTTAAATAACACATGACCACTCTTGGGCAAATAAAAGATTTCTGATTTGAATCGCTTCGGGGAGGTATCAAGTCTTTTCATGTCAAAAGGCTGAAGTCCATGTGGAGTCACAAGTTATGGGTGCTAAAGTAAAGTCTTCTTAAATCATCAAATGTGTGACATGAGTCCATATGTCCTCTGGGAAAACAAGATAACATTATTTTCACAGTTATCAAAATGACCCAAATCATAACGACAAACAGTTCTGATTGTTTAAATGAAGTATATTTTTAGTAAAGTATTAATTTATTTCTATTACATTTAATATGCAATTATTTACACAAACAATACGTTTAGGAGATTCCCCACGTCGTCAGGTAAGCTGTCCCAAGCTGACCCCCACACACTGAAATGATTTAGATCTAATACAACCATTTATGTTATATCTGAGTGAATACTGACTGTGACCATTTAGGCATTTATTCACATAACTTGCGAACTTCACAAAACAGTTCATTGTTCAAATTGTCCTAGACTTAATAGGGCTCTTCAATGCAATATAAAATGCGACATATAAGTAGGTGTGTTTCTCCACAGAAAGAAAAAAAAAGGTACGAATATAAATTACATGTGGGTTCACAATCCGATGAAGGACTGTCATCATAATATTATTCAAAGAGGCAACTCTGATACAACACTTTTAATGCTTATTCTCAACTTTGCACCTTTGACACATTCTTAATTTTGCCAGTTTTCATGTACTGCATGTGGCAGGACCTTCAGTTATTTGTGGCTCCAGTGAGAAATAAATAGCAAAAACTTTGGAGAATTTCCAAATTCTCCCCACATAGCTACAGAGGACATTTAATCTTTGCCATCAATATGGTAGTGCCTTTTTTAATGCCCTGTAACTAATAGGCCACCGGGTGTGAGCCTCACAGGTACCCTGGTGCTACAAAGAGACCAAACAGGGTGATGTGGGGGCGCTTCAAAGAAAGAGGGCAAGGCGACAGAGAGTATGGAATGGAAAAAGTCAGCAAGAAAAGAACGAGGACATAATCGTTCGGAGGACCCCAGCACATAAACTAAATAATACATTTCAGGTTTTGATATAACTATTACTGCCTGCGAAGAGCTCTTTGATGTTAATTGAAACCACTGGGCAGCACTCTGCTTTAAAGCACTGACAAATAACAGTTTCCTTGGGCTAAGCATTGAAGGTTACCAAGCGCATACTTGCTCCATATGCTCATTCGATATAAATAAAAATCAAAAAAACGAGCTTGTCTTCGCCGAGGCTGCACAACATGCTGAGGATAGATCCTGGCTCAAGTTGTGGTGAGTGGAAAATGTTTACAGTTCTTAACAATACCTTCACCAGGGGTCCTGTGGTGTGCAGGACAAAGCCTCACTGTATTGTTTTCAGTTTGCTTCCTCTCTTTCATACAGGAACCGCAGCTTAACTTGATAAAGTAATAATACAAATCTAGGTGGCCCAACAGAAACTCCTGCATCGGAAAGATATCATTATTCACAAAGAAGCCTGTCTCTTGTATTTCTGATTTTTCAGGCCATACAATAGTTTGAAGCACAGGGGGAGAGATGATTGTGGGCTCTGGTTTTAATACAACACAATGGTCTCTGTCTTCCTTTGTGCTTTAGTACGTTCTGGCACCGTGCACTTCTCATCTTTTATTCTTCACCAGCCTTTTTAGACGCTCATTATATCACAAAAAAGAAGCCTTGTCAAAGGGTCATCCGGATCTGATGCAATGCACAATAATAGAAAACATACTCTCCCGTGAATACATGCACATTGCAGCGAGGACCAGGAGAGAGGGATATATAATGACAGAAGAAGTTCAAAGTGTTTTTTTCCCCCTCCATCCCATATGATACCACATCAGAGTGTGTACAGGGATGACCTTGCCTCATGCTGAGCCCCACAGGTCGGACATGAGAGGAGAGGTGCCTGTTTTAGGGGCTGATTCACTGTAGGACAAATGACAGGCATTGTTGAAGGAGGTAATTGGCTTGTTTTCATGTAAAGAGCCTGTACATTATGATTGTTCACAGAGCCTCGGATCTGACCGGGACGGACGAAAAAGATCCAGAAAGAAAATCTCCTTTTTGACATGTTCCCCATCACAATGATTGACAGTGAGAACACATGAATATGGTGTTACCACAGACATTTATAAAGAGTGTGACGCGCTTCCTGAAGTAGGCTGACATCCTGTAATTATGGTTAGAATCGAGTGGTGTGGATTAAAAAAAGATTGCGACTGACAAAAAAAGGGGATGGTAATCTGAAAATAACAAGAAGGAATAGTCTGAAAACATATTTCCAAAAAAAAGTTGTTAAAAATTGCAGTATGAGAGAGGACTGAATCTGAAAGGGTATTATTAATATCTACGGTGGCCGACTCGTGCATTACGATGGTCCAAAACACTTGGAAAAATGTGCTACACAGAAACGCTGCAGATACCAAATGCGTTTTGGCACATTTGTTTTTTTATATTTGCATTGTTTTTGAATTAGCAGCACTTTTATCCTGATAGAAGTGTTTTTGGCTATTATTATACATTTTTCTCTCCGTAAATATCTCTGTAAGACAGAAAAATAGTGTATATTCCACGATAGCTTATTATCAATGTAATGAACTAAGGAATATATTTATCATCACATGACCAGCAGGTTTAATAAGATAACATGTAAGTGTATTAAAGGGCTTTCTTAAAGTAATGCACTTAATTATGATCAAAGCCTTTCCCTTTACCCTTGCTCTGGATGACTCCACAAACCCCCATTACTGAGAACTACATGATTTGAACGGTTTATATACTTTGTGAATAATTTAACAGGACCCACAGTGCACATGTGATTCTTCAGACATGGGGGTTTTGAGGACACCATCAGACCATCGGGCCACCAGCGATGGAATAAAAAAACCAAGCTACTGTAGGGGTTTGTTGGACAAGGTAAAGTGGCCTGTCTGCCATTAAGAGCCCTATACATTATTTGAACATAATGTACACTCAAAGAGTCCCAGATCTCACAGACTCGGCCAAAAAACGTCAAGCAGGGAACCCTCTGTTCCTTGAAATGTTAACCATAAAAGTGATTGACAGCGGGAATATGTGAATGATAGTTTGACGCATAAAAGCAACATAGTGTAATGATGGATCGGGGTGACAGAGGTCGGGTAAAAGCGGATTTTGACATTAAAAGATAAAAAAAGGGAAATTATTTACAACATCATAAGATTTGTTTTCATGATTGGAGCACTCAAAAGGCACTATAGGCTGACATATGTTAATGTTAAAAATGATATAGCTATGCATGCACATGGATCTAGTTTTCACAAGGTGATTCCAAGGATATTTTTCAAACATACTCTCCCCTCGTAAAACCAGAACAGAGGAGAGGAAATGTACGTTATAAATAGGACTCAAAAGAACCCCCTCCGTTAGGGATGCCAGAGACACCGACATCCTTGAAAGTGGGAAAGCTTTGGAGCATTTTACAAGACAGGTGAAAGAAACATGTGTGTTGAATCATTGTAGCCGCCTCACTTGGGTCAGCTCTACCATAAAAGAAAAGCGATTACAAAGGAAACTAATGAAGACACTGATCAAAGTCTGTAATGGTAATATGTAGCAGGTGTTTTAGACCCCAGCAGTCCGCTCCACGCACCACCCTCCCACCACCACTGCTGCCCCATCTGTAAAACTCCCTCATGTATATCACATGTGCTTTGTTAGGAACAATGGACAGAACACATTTCAGCACTATTCAAAACATGTTATGAGCAATGTGGATGAACTCTGGGAGGGTATTTCAACCGTGGGTGATACATAAAGGCAGCCACATGGAGGCTGTACGTTTATGGTGCACTTTCATAATGGGTAGTGAGTTGAAAAGGGCTGACGTGGTTGAAGCCCACACCGGCAGAAAAGCACCTGGAGTTGAGATCCATGCAAAAGTTGAAAGAAGGATGGCGAGACTTGTACTGGAGCACGTTCAAAGCATGATTGCTATTTTTACACATAGTCTAAGATGAAAGTGTGACTGCTATTGATTACCAGAAGGGCTAAGCATATGGAATATCTAAGCTAAAGAACAGGACATTTTGAAGAAAATATTTAGGATTATTTTTCAAAATATAAAGTTTAAAGATGTTTGAACTGCAGCATTACCACCTACCAGAATGTTATCAATAATAATGATAAATAAAATAAAAAATCTAAATAGAATCAAATTGCAAAATAAAATTCTAATAAAATAGAAAAAAAAAGAAAAAAAGAAGCAAAATCAAAAAAGTATTTGAAATAAAAATGTAAAATATTAAATTAAAATTAAATTAAAAAGTTGTGCAGAAGCAGTTCATTGTGATTCTAATGTTTCATACTGTTCGTTTTATTTAAGAGTTCTAAGGTCTCTAAAACATAAATCCTTGATTTTAAACTTTCTTACGCAGCACAGATGCATTTTGTATATCTGTAGATCTGTACCTGCGCCGCATCTGCGCAGTGCAACGTGTAGAGCTTGATGACGTAGCTTCCGCCGCGAACACATGTCCAATCTGGGATTTGTAGTCCTCAATGCTACTCGTGTCCCGTGTTTTTTTTAAATATCTCCACTAAAAAACAATTTGCACCGACAATATTAACCATTGGACTCTCACTTTAACAACACGTAAGTCTTCACTGCCATGTGCCCTTTATAACATGAGAAGGCATTAGTAACGTTTTTTCGAGTACTACAACAACCACCGTCGCATCTAATAAAACCGAGGCAGCGTAAACACAAGTCCAGGAACATGAAAAGATCGGGTGACAGTGAGGGGGAGAAGAGAAGAAAGGTATTGATAGCGTTTTTCTCCGTTAGAGCTGATATATTTCTAAGCCCTGCTGCTGGTTGAATATCTAATGCTCCTTATGTGACACTGCTGGAAGCATTTGGGAGGCTAGCAAGCCGCTAATGTCAGTGCATACCTCACCATGCCTGTTTCCTTTATTGTGTTTTCCATTTTTTCCCCCCTAGTCTTCCACAATGAAGAGCGAATTACAGTTGCAATATAACGGTGCTTTATCACGTAAAGCTGTAGCTTGCAGGATAACGATGTTGCAACATTGCATATTAAGTGGGAAAGGGTCTGTTGGAGAAAATAGTAAAAGTGAGGACTCTACCGTAGGTTGGATTCATCAGCCTTAAATAAAAAACAACAAACCAACACATGGCAACACATTAGGCATTAAAGCCTTATTCCGGATGTCATGGTGTGAAGACTGAACAATGAATCAATTGTTAATTGTAGGAATGAAACAGCCCATTATAACTGTAAAAAACAAATGGTAAAGTTTGTGTGTAGGGTCTCCAGATTTGTCATGGTGCCAGCCCACATCTGCTTCAGTATTTTCTATAGATACAGTGGATACTAACTAATGCTTTACAGTAAACATGTGAACTTATTGGTTGATGTAGTGATTATTCTTCTTGAATAATTCTGTAATTGTCCCTAAGGCATGCAAGTGAGTTCAGGATTGTTTGCACATAGAGATGGGTGTGTCTATAACCTGGGATGACCAACTTTTGTTTGTGCAATAAGCTAGTTCGTGCTGTCCTGGGTTTAATAGGGCTTTTTCTGAATAACTTTGCGGTTAGTTGAGATTCCTAAGCAGAGGAAGGAAAGGGCTCAGCTGTGCCCATGGCATCCTGGGATATGTTACGCCTACAGTCATTCTGTCTGTCTGTTCCTAGTCTTATCTCCTGACTTGGATGCCGTCTGCTGTGGCACATATGTTTGGATCATGTTAGACAGCAGTGAAACTATGTAAGACGTGGTTCCTCCTGTTTATGAAAGCAGCCATGGCGGCCAGATGAGCGGCTCAGAGAGAGAACTCATTCCAGCTGGCCCTCGGGCACAGACCTAATGGCTTAGCTTCCTTTCTCTTTAGATAAATAAAAGGATGAGCAAGATGGAATTGCAATTTAAAAATGAATATAAGACTTTAGAGCAGCCAAGGGAGGAGTTGCATGCATTGTCAGTACTTTTAAAACATAATATCAGAGGGTTGTATAATGATACAGATACAATGATAACAAATAACTTGGATTCATCCAGTATGTGAGTGTGTCTGCAATGCTGCACAAAGTGAGAGATGCGCTATGATAGGTCCACTGTCATTCTGAGTTAGGGAATGCAAGCACCAGCAGATTAGTGCCAAGTGAATATACAATCTCCTTAGAAAATCCCACGACAGCAAGTCACTATAGCAAACTGACAGGTGGGATGCCATAGTTTATATTATTTTAGTGAAATAGAAGGATATTGGCCTAACAACCCAGGAGGAACTACTTTTTTTCTTGATAAATCCATCCGACATTTTTTACACTAGCTATTTTTCCAGCTACAAAAATGCAGACTATTTTTAAATGTATTCATTGCCTTAGGTTCTCAAATAGCTACTTTTTTTCAATAATATCTCAGCAATATCAACATTCCACCCCCTTGTCTTGTAATGAATTGAAAAAATCATTATGTTTATCAAAATTGTCATCACAGGATGAATTTCCACTCATGCCTTGGCAAGTGTGAAAACGACACTCACCCTGTTCCTTAACCCGATGTTCTAATGCTGTCTTTGATGCGAGCTCGCCATTTGGACAGTGATGACAAGTATAAAGTGCTGTGTCGAAACAGGAAGTGTGTGTGTGAGCGGCAGGCTAAGTAATGATCACACAGGGTCACCAGATGTTGTGAGGTCCTGGGCTCAGCCCGGCCCATTGCTTAGATCAGCCTCATTGGTTTGCTCTGGTTGTGGCACATAGTGCAAGCTGTTTAGGGTATTTAATTTCTGAACACTCATTAAAATGGTTTGTGTTTCCCTTGGCAATTCTGTTAAATTAACAACTACCGAGGTAAAAGCTGATTATGTGGCCACACATCCAGACATGGTTAATCAATTCTCCCACACAAAATGTGAGCTGGTGAATTAGTGTAGAGGAAACGATTTATGGCGACTAATGCCGACGTCCTGTCATGTCAGGCCTAGTGTTTTAGCAAGAGGGGGGTGTCAGATTCAGCACATTCAGCAGCTTTGTGCTCTGCCGGCCATCTTTTTCTCCCTTTTAACCCAAGCTACATGCTGCTTGCTCTATTAATGAGCCAATCATAGAGAAATAGTGTTGGGTGCTGACATAAAACATGGATATGGATACCTAAGGCAGGGTAGCACACAAGCTCCAGCAGAGTTAGATTTACACCTAGGCTCCGTGTAGAATGGTAGAAATGGGAACGCTCTGCATGGGGGCACTCACAGCTTCATCAGACCCCCGCCAATCGAGCCGTGGAAAAGCCAGGGCCCAGAAAAATACGGCTGTGGCAGATAATGATACCATTACACTAATGGAGCTGGCAAATGAAGGAGAACCCAGATGCCCTGCTTTATTACCGGAGGGGGTCATTTCCTCGCTGCATTCCTAATGGCCTGAGTACACAGTATTGATCAGGCTATCATGCTGCTAATCCTCTACAGAATTACTTATCGCTGGCTAGGTGTCGATCCACCGCATACCCTGCTCTGGCCTTGCCGCTGTGTGTCCAGCAGGGACCCACCGGGCAGTTTATCCAGGCATGATTTAGGGCCATGCTGGGATGGCGTCTGGGAGGTCTTCACTATAGTGGGCTGGCCAGTTCAATGTGTAAAAAAAAAAAAAGGTGGCAAATGAACCTTTCATTTAATTAAGGAGCAGGCAATGATGTGGTTCCTCCCTCTTTATGGCCCCATCGGCCGCTGTGGAGCAGGGGAAGCTGTGAGGTTGGGTGTCGTTCTCACTAATTGTGTTGTGCTGTAAATAAGAACAGGCAGCTCTTGTGCTATCAGCAGAAGCAGCAGCAGGCAATACTTTTACCACGCCGTTGGCCTGATTTGATTACTTCATTCTCTACATATTTAACTCCACTTCATTCTTGCTTTATGTGGCTGAAAACTGGGGAATTCAACATGCAAATGTGTTTCTTCAGGCCCAATTATACTGGACCCTCCGAGCTCCAATTCTTATTACTACAATTAGAAAAGTGGCTTTATTTCTAAATTATTCATGGTATGCATTATTTGAACATGACCGAGTATGATTTAGCCTTGGACCATCATCATTACAAATGAATAGGAGGGTCAGGTAGCACAGAGCACTTTGCCCAGGGCTTGTGACCTGTGATATCCTTGGCCCCTTTACTGGGCCCCTGTGTGCATTAGCATCCTCAGGCCATTGGAAGCGTGGCATTGTAGCATCAGCAGAGCCCTCTTGTCACCTCTGGCCTTGGCTAATCAAAGAGTTTACCTTAAGGGGGGCATTTAGCCCTGTTCGTTAGGCCCACTGCAGTGGCCATAAAGAAGTATTTATACATTTCCATCTGGAACAACCTGTCGTGGCTATTGATCCAGATATTTAGTCATTTCTTTCTGCATGCGCCATCAATATTGTGCAAACATCCGTCCACGCGAGTGTTGACCTCAGCCCCAGCCTCTATTTTCCCTCCCATTGGAGTTCAATGATATACTATTCTGAAAAGTAAAATCAATGAATGAATATGAAGTGTTGGTGTGTAATATAGCGCAGGCACCGAGGCCCAAGGTCTTTCATTGATCTGCTATGTGAGCGTTGGAGGGGGCTGATTAGTCTGCTGCTGAGCTTTTCCTCTACATGTTTTTACCTTGTCTCGCCTATTTGATCTTTGGCTCATATATTTGGACTGGGGTGTTTACAGATCAACTTGGTTATTGAAGACTCTCTTTAAACTACTTCAGCATACTTCTTACAATGTAATGCAGTCATTTTCCTGCCCATATGGAACAAGAATGTCAGAACTGAGATTATATGAAATGCATATGTGTTGCATACTTGCAATATTACTTACTATGTTGTGTGTGCCTTAATGTTTTAGTGTAGAAGATATACCCTTAGCCAACTTAAGTGCAACAGGAAGTGTGATGGTGGGGAATTCTTTGTTTTAAAGTTGTCATTGATAGAAGCATGGGATGGGTTTTTTGTATGTTTTCGGTCCTTCATCTTTGATTTGCAAATTCATTATATGTTCTGCAACTTGTGACATAAGCAAGGTGTTTCCATGAGACAACACTGAGTTACTTTTAAAGATGGATCTGTATTAATCACAGTGGTTATCATCCATTTAAATGTTGTGTCAGCTTCTCACGATCAATAAGAAACTCTGCATGCCGTTGTCTCACTTTCTACCACTTTTTTTTATAGAGGTCTGTGTTGAATGCATAACATTTTAGAGGTGCATGATGTCTACATTTGGTTTGCATCTGGAAGGGTATCAACTTTTATGGCCCTGCCTGCATTGTCTCAGGGAACATGACTCAGATGACCTGTTATGGACTCCCATATGTTCCTAAGAGGACCTGTGATCTTACTAGACATCTAAATGGAAAAACAGATATAGCCATATGCTTGGCATTGCATATTGGTGTGGCAATAGTACTGATACTGAAAGCTACATCTGCAGAGGTTTCTTTTAAAAGCTGACATTTCTTCACTTTTGACTAGTGGAAAAGGTTCTACCAAAGGCAAGAATCGGACACATTTACACGGACATAAGGCAGCAGAAATCATGCAATTCTGCTGATATTGATTTCCTTTCACAGTTTTCATTCTTCCAACAATTATATTTAATAAAAAAACTGCTTGTGAAATACCACTTTAGGGAACCAATAATTGCTAAATGCCACCCGGATGGATTCTCCTATGGATGCAGTCACTAGGATTGTCCAAACAGCCCTTGACAGCTCACGTGTCTGACAGCTACTACCGAGCACCTCATATTAGTGTTGAGGC